GGCTGGTGTCAGCCAGCAGGAGGGTGAGTTCCTCCTGCTTGTTCCCCATGCTACGGGCATTAGTGTAGAGACATTTCAGGCCTCCTGGAGATGTGGATACTGACCCCCTAGTCCCAGCAATCCCCTTACCCCATCTCTTACTTGTTTGTCCGCTGAGCTTGCCGGTCCGGGCTGGTCTATAGTTGCGGGTGCCGGTCCGGTGTATCCTCCGCCCTCATCTTCCCCTTCCCCCGACGAGCCTAGTTTAAATGATGATGTTCTTCATTTTCTTTTCAATTCTTTTCTTAAAGATGCCCAACAATTTATTGGCTTTTTTTGGTCACTGCTGCACATAGTTCTCCCAAAATATCAGCTCAATCTACAATGACTCCAAGGTCAACTTTCTTGAGTTGTAACAACTAGTTCAGAACACAGTATTGTGTACATACAGTTGCAGACCTAAAGATGTTTACTGTGCACACCTATTTCCAGGTCATTTGTAAAAATATTGAATAAAATAAGGCCCAGCACAGATCTCTGCAAGACCCCACTTCTGACCTCCCTCCAACCTGAAAAGTGACCATTTAGCTCTACCCTTTGCTTTATCCAGATCTTGATCCATGAGAAAACATTCCCTCCAATCTCATGGCAAATCATCTTTTTTAAAAGCTGTTAGTGAGAGACCTTGTCAAAAGCTTTCTGAAAATCCAAATGTATTATGGTAACTGGATCCTTCTTGCCCATGTGTTTGTTAATCCTTTCAAAAAATCCCATCCAGCACATTAGTGAGGCAGGATTTCCCTTTATAAAAAACATGCTGACACTTCCCCAGCAGATCATAGTTTCATAGTTTCATAGATTAAGGGTCGGAAGGGACCTAGCAGATCTTCTAGCCCGACCCCCCGCCAGGGCGGGAGAACAACAAAACCCCAAAACAAGAAACGGGACTCAAATGAGTCCAGCCATGTAGGCATCCAGCCTCTTCTTAAAGACCCCCAGGGTAGGGGCCAGCACCACTTCCCTTGGAAGTTGGTTCCAGCTCCTAGCCGCCCTAACTGTGAAGTAGTTTTTGCGGATGTCCAATCTATACCTCCTCTCCATCAACTTGTGCCCATTACTCCTTGTTATGCCAGCGGGCGCTAGGGGAAACAGCGTCTCCCCCAAACCCTTCTGGTCCCCCCTAGTGAGTTTATAGACGGTCACCAGGTCCCCCCTCAGCCTTCTCTTGTTGAGGCTGAATAGGTTCAGGTCCCGCAGTCTCTCACTGTAGGGTCTGCCCTGTTGTCCCCGGATCATGCGGGTGGCCCTCCTCTGGACCCTCTCCATGTTGTCCACATCCCTCTTGAAATGGGGCGCACAGAACTGGACACAATACTCCAGCTGTGGCCTGACCAGCGTCATATTTGTCCATGCAACTGCTGGTTTTATTCTTTATTATGGATATAGCAACTTGCCAGCGATGGAAGTGAGCCTCATTGGTCTGTAGTTTCCAGAATCACCTCTGGAGCCCTTTTTGAAGATGGGTGTTATGCTGGCACCCCACTAGTCCTCTGGCACACAGGCTGTTTGTAACAATTGGTTATATACTGTTTCCAGCAATTCTGCAGTTTTGCCTTTGAGTTCCTTCAGAAATCTCGGGTGAATGCCATGGGATCCTGGTGACTTACAGGACTTAGTTTATCAATTTGTCCTAGTGTTTCTTCTGTTGTCAGTTCAATGTGGTCCAATTCTTTAGACATATATACTAGGAAGGAATGATCTAGCAAGGAGTTTCCCTGGTATTTTCTGCAGTAAACAGTGATGTAAAGAATTTGTTTAGCTTCTCTGCTATGGCCTTATCATTCCTGAGTGCACCTTCTACACCTTGGTCATCTAATGGCTTCTGGTCATTTTATCAAAAATAAGAGAGAGGACCTAATGGAACTACTGCACATTAAGTTGTGAAAGGTTAGTTGAAATCCAGTGATAATTTTTCTCACTTCCAGGTTACAAACTGACATTGCATTTGTCCCATGATAAATCACTTTATCCCAGAACAAAGGGAAGTCATTCAGATGTCCATGTCTGTTTTCCTGGTATAACTCCTAAAAAGGTTCACAAGATGAGGAGTACTATCAGTTTATCCCAGGAAACTCCAATGCACATTCAAACAGTTACCCCAGGATTGCATACATGAATCAGTGGTAGAAAAGCAGCAGTGCATTTAGCTGTCCACTAAACTTTGATTAGAAGGGCAGTGTGTGCATACATCAAGCCCTGGATATTTCCATTTTGGTGCAAACACAGGTACACCTTGAGAGACAAATGAAATGCCTGTTCCTTGCCCCAGAGACAGAGAGGACAGCCAGGTCCCAAAGAGAGTTTGTGTTGTGCTGTTCTGTAGTGACAACTGCTGGCTGCCTGGCTGCTGCATTGACACTGAAGGGAGTTGGAGTCTGGCCCTGGGAGTTGAGGAATAGCCTCAACCCGCCCTGCGGAGAATAGAGTTTAACAATGTTCAGCATCTCGCTAAAGGCATCCCTTTCAGAATGGGAACTACATTTCTTCAACTGCTCTTGGTAAATGTAGAGGAATCTCAAGAGGTTCAAAGTTATATCCCTTCCTGTCCCCTCTACATCACTTCATTCTCACTTTCTGATCTAAATGGATTTTTCCTTAAACCACGTCCTTCCCTTTTGCTCCATTCCCTTTCAGGCCTCGCAGAGAAGCAGCATTATGGCTGATTACCTGGGTTGGAACCTTTGGTGCCTCTTTTTCTACCCATATCCCTCCATTTCTACAAGAAGCTCAACTTTTCTGTGGTAGCCCACCACCAGACCTGTCACAAGAAGTCAGCAGAGCTGAGAGAATTTCACTCTCTCTTGCATCTTTGTGTTACAGGTGATGCAGAAAACACTGCACACCTCTGAATTCAGGCTTCCCCCTGAAGTATGCGGTCTCTGCTGACAGAACCTGCCAGACTTGTTGGTTCATGATAATGGATTGATTTTGAAGATTTTTACCAAAAGCAGAGCAGTGATTTACCAAACCTATCCACTACCTGAGCCAAGTTTCAGGCTGGGTCATACTTCAACTAAAACAAATTGTCCATTCCAAGTAGGTTTGTGTGGCATAAGCAAAGCCTAATGAAAGGTGACTTTGATTGTTGCACTCCCCTATTTAAGATCTAGATTTCACATTCAACAGTGAAACACTGCATGGAGTTAGCATCAATTGTACATCATTTCATCGTATTGATGATAGGTACAGTAACAAAAGCAAATAAACAACCCCACCAGAAACGTGTTTCACAGTGAAGTGAAGTCCAGGTTCTCAGCTGGTATAAACTGATGTGTGTCTGTTGACTCCAGCAAGGCTACACAGATTTACATCCCCTGTAATGTTATTTTAATATTATAGAAGACACAACATGAATAGACTATCACAGAGTCCTCTTTACCTTGCACTGGGTTATATTTAGTACTTACCAGAGATACCACTGTTTGGGATGGATAGACAGATGAGATAAGCAACTTTAAATGCAACTGGGTTTTTATGTTTCTCATTTATATGAATGTCTGCAAAGAGAAATTCAGTTTCATCCAGGTGAATTTAAATGTCTGTGACTGAAAACCTCATTAGAGGGGACTCAGACCTCTAGTCTTGCCTAGTTTGCGTATGGTAAGAGACAATTCTCAGCTGCATATTTTCAAAGTTCTGCCTGAAATCCCTTTTTTGGTGGTCATGCTGGAAAACTACTCACCCAAATCCAAGACCATGAATTTAAGGTGACCCCCTAGTAATTAGATTATATACATGGAAAACTATAAATGTGTTGTTTTCCAAGTATAGAATCTAATCATTGGAGGGTTGTCTTAAATTCCTCCCTCTGCCCACCACTGTGGTGGAGAAAGCAGCAGCAGGGTGAAAACAGCCTTCCCCCCGCTTCCACTCCCAGTCTACTTGCTCTCCCCCAGGGCCTGCCACCCTGCCACCTGTCTCCTTCTGCCACTGCCATCTCCTGGTGCCTGGTATACCACCGGCAACTTTCACCACAGCATCAACACTTACTCTGTGTAGTGGCTCTGGCTCTAGCTTTGGCCTGGGGCGTGGAGCACCCACAGGCTTCAACCCCAACCAGGCAGCAGTGGCGGCAGCAGCTCTGGCCCCCTCCCTACACCTGGGATGGGGCAGGAGCTGGAGCTAGAGCAGGGGTGGGCAAAATACAGCTCGTGGGCCAGATCTGGTCTGCCAATTGATTTGATCCGGCCTGCAGCTGCCCCTGCAGCACTCTGCCTGGGGTTGAGGATAGCCCACATTGTGCAGGCCAGCATGCCCCGCTTCTGGCAGTGCTGCTCCTGGTGCAGCTGCAGCTGCCTGGGTGGTTCTGTACTCCTCTTGCCTCCAGCAGCAGCTCCTCCTCCTGCTCTTGTCACGGCACTCCGGGCCAGGAGGAAGCTTCAGCCAGGTGGCTCCTGCCCTAGTGCACAGGGGTTCAGCTCCAGTTCCTGGCCACCTTCCACCCACTGGGCTGCCTGTGCCAGGTGTGTGGAAGGCAGCCAGGAGCTGAAGCTGAAGCCCTGCGCACTGGGGCAGGAGCTGCCTGGCTGAAGTTTCCTCTCAGCCTGGAGTAGCACAACAGGAGCAGGAGGAGGCGAGGAGTAGAGCAGCACCCAAAAGGCTGCAGCCATGCTGGGAGCAGCCCCACCAGAAGCTGTGCATGCTGGCCGGGGCTGGGCCAAGGGATGTGGGCTGGAGGAAGGTGTGGGCTGTGCCAGGTGGTAGTGGCTGGGGCTCAGCCCCATTCAGAGTACCACAGTGGCAGCCATGGACCACACTGGGCAGGCAAGCTCTGCTGCGTGTGCTCCCTGCCCCCTTCTCTTTCCCATCATCCCAGGCTGACTCCTGGGACCTAGTGCCTAGGCAGCCCCCATACACACACGTGCACATGCCCCCTACAGGGCAGGAAACACATCGCGACCTCACTCCATGATCCCAGGCTCACCCACCCATGTTGCTCCTAAATACCGCTCCCCACCCACCCATGGGCCCATCCCACATAGGGAGTTTCGGTGGTTGTTGCAAGGTGCTGGAGTGGTGCTGACCTGGCCCATGACAACTCATCAGAACTACCTATGTGGCCCTCGAGCCCAAATAATTGCCCCCTGGGCAAACTCTGCTTGTTACGCCTCTTACTCAAAGACAGATTAACCAGTGGCCGGGTTCAATATGGGAAATATGAAAAAACATACCAACCAATGTTGTCATCACTCTATGCCTTTAGCATAGATCTGACACTTCACTCCAGCTAAGGATTCTCCCCTTTGTTCTTCTTCACATACATAGCAATAACATGCACAGTGATATCTTTCAAATCAGGGGAAATGAATGAATTCCACCAGGTGTGATTAACACAGACAGGTTCCCAATGCCAGAATTTTGCCATTGCATTCAGTCTAAAAAGCAATGATTGTCACACTTACAGTGCTCAACAGAATTATTAGAAATCTGACATGGCAACATACCCAATTTCTGCATTTCTTTCGACCTGCTTCTACAGAAACCGTATGTTTGCAAGATACCAGGCTGCACAAAACGCTATACAGACCCCAGTTCTCTCCGGAAACATGTGAAGACTGTGCATGGCCCTGAGGCTCATGTCACCAAGAAGCAGCGTGGAGATATCCATCCAAGGCCTCCACCACCCAGAGACCCAGGCAGCCATTCACAGTCCAGATCACCAGGCCAGCAGACTCAGGGTGCAATTGGTGAGCAAAAGGACCTCAGCAACACTACCTCGAAGCGTGAAGAATGCCTCCAAGTGAAAGCTGTCAAGTCAGAGAAACCAATGGTATGCATAAAGCTGTGCTGTTTTCTTTCTGCCTCCGTACCGTCCCAATCAGTTAATAATTCTTTTATTAAATACTTCAGCATGTAAACTCAAGAGCAGACTTTTTTTGCCAAAGAAAAATGTTCTTGTTACATGTTCATTTTTAAATGATAATGCTTAAAAAGATTACATGTAGCTAATGCAATCTAAACTAAGTGTAATACTGGAATCTCTCACAAGATTTGTTTTTCTTAAATCTCCATGTCTTGGAGTTAGCTTTTTTAAAGGAAATGTCAGCGTTCATTGAAAAGTAAGCTTCCAGCTATCTCATTTGCTGGAGAAAGGCCCTGAAGGTTCAAACAAAACCCCCAGAAAACAAATAAAAAGAATCCAAAATTTATTATGTTTCCAAATCTCATGATTTTGGAGGGCCTGACTCATGATTTGTGAATGCTTGAAGTTGGCAGTTCTGAAACTCAAACAAGTTAAAGCAATTTCTGTACAGAAGCCGCAAGGCGCGGATGTTATTTTTAAGTTAAATTACCTTAATATAAAATGGGCTTAAATTGAATTAAGTTTGTTTTCCCTGGGTTTTTTTCCTTTTTTACTCATTTAAGCCAAAGCAGTTAGTAACTTTGAAGATAGATGAGGGCTAGGGTAACTTTATCTTAAGGTGTGTTTCTATGTTTTGAAGATCTCTGTTAAATAATGGAATACTCTTTCCAACTACTCTTCTCTAGTGTACCTGCTCTCAACATAGGGCTAGAATTAGCTAAAAAAATGTTACCCCATTCTCTTACACATCTGGCTTCATAAGCTCTTCAGACCCAGGCAATGGGAAATCAAAACAAACAAACAAAAGCTCACAATCATTTAGGCTTTGCTCACAGGATTAATTCTCAGAGTACCTCCATCTCCTACTCATTTAAATAAGAGAGACACTCATGATTCACAAGACAGTCTTGTTGATGTTGAAGCCTATGAGCAGAAGCCATTCCTGTTTTCTTTGTTTACAGGAATAATCTATTGGTGTTAATGAGACTAGTTTAGTGAGTAAGAGGTACTAATATGAACATAGCTTTCAGGAACTGATTTTAAAACAAGTTAATTTCTTGAAGGGTATTTAATAGTATGGTGTCATTTAGTTGCCCTTATTTCTTGGTATTCATTGCTATGTGACTCCAGACATACCTGCTGCTTTTCTACTAATCCAATGTCTCTTCTGTCTAATGCTCTTAAATGTCCTGTTCTAACTTCCTAAGGACAGTGGGTAATAAGGTGAGGGAATTTCAATTTTTTTGCAGTTTTCTCATTGCATTTTTTTTAATTTTCCTTCTTTTTATTTGCCCTTTTGCCTGCCATCTAGTCATTCCAGCCCACACATTTCTGAGTATGATGTGCAGTGAGCATTTTGCAACATTTGTCATGTGAAAAACTGGATCACATTGGGAAAATACATTCAAGTATATTTTTATCTGTCTTTTCGATATATAGCATATGTATACATAAATGTATCTATCTATAGATACTCTCATTATGCCATTCCCATAATCATTTTCTCCATTTTGTGCTTCAGCCACTGTGATCAACTTGCATAGCTACAAGAACAAACTCATGACTGTTAACATCCTTTATCTATCTGGCATGGAACTGTTGTACAATAGGTGCAGATTCACTGCCCCTCAAACAAGGTATTCTTTATTGCTCTTACCAAATCCACAGTGACCAAGATTTGGAAATTCACCCTGTTCCTAAAGTCTATCATAATTCATGTTAGAAATGATAACATTGTTATGGCACCTGAGTGCTCCTCAGAACCATGCTAAGCCACAACTCACACAAGTCTAATACCTTTATTCAGTTTTATTGTTAAAATTCAGAGGTGTCATTGATAGCTGCATAAAGATCACATGCCAACAGAAAATGCCAGAGAGTAAAATTGATACCTGCTTATGAGACTGTTCTTGAGAGCAAAATGATTTTGCATGTTACACAGATCTGTAATTCTAATAACTAAATGGTACATCCTGGAACAAAGTTGTTATTTTCTCTACCAACCTACTTATCTATCTACCCACCTACCGATCTGTCATACGAAGAGTTGTCTCATTTTCAGGAGAGACCTTCATGATTACATCAAAGACCCTCTATTTTATAGGAATCAGAAAACTAACACAACAAAATAATTTTTTGTGAGTGTTTCTCTTTTTTATTTAAAAAAGTAATATGAATCTATGGCAAGTCTACATCCTGGTATATTTCCATGCTGGGCTGAGATCTTATCAGATTCTGCAAGCCAAGCATGGGAAATCTTGCATAAAGAGAAGTAGATACATGTCTTCCCACTGAATCTAAACTGGAATGATTAGTTTGTAGGGCTTTGTGAAGCTTTAGTCCCTGATTCGATTTGGTGGAGATTCGGCCCAATTCAGTGGCCAGATCTCTGAATCTGAATCGACTCAGGGGACCCTTTAATCTCTCCAAATCAAATCAGAACCCTCCAAATTGATTCAGAGAGATTTGAGGAGATTTGGACACAGCTTTAAAAGTTTTTTCTACATACCTATAGGTAGCAGGCAGCTCGTGAACACTGCGATGCTGGGACAGATAAAGCATCCCAGAGGAATGCGGGAGGGTCATCAGCACGCTCAGCAGCAGACCTGGAAATGGACCAGAAGCACTTCTGGTTCACTTCCGGGTCTGCCAGGGAGCACGCACGGTGGCCCTCTCACCTCCCGGCTCGGCGACTGGCACCTCCTGGATCGGGGGGGGGGTCACTCAGGGCCCCTCCCATGGCTGATCACTGAGCTGAGGAGGCATGGGGGGAGGCCCCAGAGTGCTCCCCGGTGGACCCAGCAGTGGACCACAAATACTTCCAGTCCATTTCCGGGTTTGCCACTGAGCACGTGGAGGGGCCCCCTGCACTCCTGTGGGACTCTCCACGCACCCCAGCATCACAGTATTCACAAGCCGTGCTAGTACCTCGAGGTATGTAGAAAAAACTTTTAAAGCTGTGTCTATTCTCTGAATCAGCATCAAACCTTCAGATTCGGATTCGGCCAAAGGAAATCAGGGAAAGTGATCCAAATCAACAAATCGAATCACTTTCCCTGATTTGGGCCAAATCAGAATCCGACTCGAATGGGGCCCGCTTCGCACACCCCTATTAGTTTGATTGTGCTAAAAGCACACAAATGGTATGATTTTCACATTAATGTAGGAAAACTTGTATTCAGCCAATAAATTATTTTATTCTAACTTTATATTCATCTAACACCATTGTAACAACATTGCCTGCTCCCAGCCAAATCATGCAGTTCTGTTTGCTCTGCATTCATAGGGCCCTATGCTCCTGTATGAAGAATGAAGCTTCCTTCTTTACTTACAAAACAACAGCACCTATTATATGCAGATAGGATAGAAAACTGAAGTCCTCTGTACTAATTGTTAAAAAAATCTGATTGTGGGGGAGCTAATGTAAAAGCTGATATTATGCTGCAGTCTTTTATATTATAACTTGTTACCACCATGGTAGTAATGGTCACTGTTTACATCCTGAAAATGCTTGTAACAGTGAATACGAACTCCTTGAAAATTATCAAATCTTTCTGCTGTACAATTTTTTTTTAATCCAGCACTACTCAATGCTGATAGACATAAGGCTACCTATTTTTTCTCCAATATTTTCAGTTGAATGTAGTGATCTGAGACCTTTCAAGCCAATATCAGCACTATATAGATGTAAAATTCTCTGTTATTAAATATTAAAGGTGAATTTTATCACTGAGGTTCACAATGATTTCCAGTTATGCTTAAAGGTCAAGCTGTCATGTAACAGACTCTTTTAAGGAAAGATCCTTGTCATCCATTTAAACTAAGCAGTTCTGTTCTTTTGTTTTTATTTCCTTTGGCTTCATATTGAGTCAGGCTTGTGTTCCTGGTACATTGAAAGAACTTTGCTAGCATTCATTGCCTACTCCTAATTAACATTTGTTTCTTATTTCACTTAAATAGACATCTCAGCCAAGCCCTGGTGGTCAGTCTACATGCAGCAGCGAACAGTCCCCCATCAGCAACTATTCCAACAATGGGATCGAGCTTAATTTGACAAGTGGAGGTAGTGTAGGAGACCTCAGTGTCATTGATGAAACCCCAATCATGGACTCTACCATTTCCACAGCAACCACAGCACTTGGCTTACAGGCCAGAAGGAATATGACAGGGACCAAATGGATGGAGCAAGTCAAATTAGAAAGGTTGAAACAAGTTAACGGAATGCTTCCACGACTGAACCCCATTCCACCTTCCAAAGCCCCAACCTTGCCACCTCTCATAGGAAATGGTGAGATATACATAATTGAAATAACCTTATTTTCATTCTTTAAAGTAGTCAGTTTAAGGCTTGTTTTTGCTATCATTACACAAGAACACTATGGCCAATAACTGTTTAATTTACCTAGGAGCTTCCAGGCCAGCCCCTAAAGTCATCAATATATATGCATATTTTTCCCCTTTAAACTTAAATTTTACTACACTGGGGGAGATGATTTTATACTCATATTTTATATTCCTGTAAGTAATAACTAGACTAGATTATCATGATTGAAGCCATAAAATAAATTCCCAATGTCATAACTCTGCATCCATCCAAGGCAGATGAATTAGGTACCATAGTTTTTTTTTTGTTGGATTCTTTCAAATGAACTTTGAAACCTCAGATCCTACTTGCTTTTTTGTCAACATTATAGACCACATTTTTAAAAGGGATTCAACATATTTAATTGCACATGCATAAATAATGGTATATGAAGGTGGCACTCTAGAAAAAATGCATGTACAGCTTAGTATTTGAGTTATATGGAGGCCATGTTGGACCTAAAGATTCCATAGCACTTTTTGTAAGAGATGGGTTGTGACTTCGTTCCCATGGCCAACTTATCTGCTCCCAGCACTGTTGTGTAGCCTACTAGGTATCATTTGATTGCCACTATCAACCTGAGACATTTTGTGACATTTTATATGTATGTGATTTATGCAGTGCATTCAAGAAAAGCAACTGTGTAGAAGTAATGCTGCTGATAATGCTATCTTATTTATAGAAGGAAACTGTGAAAGATATTTTGCGGTTGTTTTCAATAATATGCAAATATTTCAAGAATTCTTAAATATTTGCCCAAATAATATCTAATTTGAATAATCTGCCATTTGGGTTTAGATTATGGATGCTGGTTCACTTATCTGTCTACTTCAGAAAGCTATAGAGGTTTCATAAGAAGATGAACTAATTGTGCCCTTTGCTAGTGGTAATGAGGGTAGCTCCATCAAAGGCAAAGGGACAATGCCAATTGACAATAACTGCAGATCTGACCTAAGATTTTTTGTGCATATTTAGCCGTGTTCCATTTAATTAAGAAAATTATTTTGGTTTCCTAGGATCATAAGGACATTTTTTAAAGCATTTTACTTGCCTCAGACTATAAGCACTTCTTACAGTAATTCCTCCTACAGCTCTACCATCACGGTTCCTCTGCTTTACCTGTGGCATTATATTTTGCGGTTGTATCAAGCTTGACTGAGTAGTTTTGCTATTAGGTTAGACAGTGGATTTATATAAGACAGTTTGGATAGGAATGATCCTGCCTCAGGTTGAGGGGTTGGACTAGAGCACCTCTGGAGGTACCTTCCAGGCCTTTTCTGTGATTCTTTATTAACCTCTGTTTGTTCCTCTGTGATTTTTACTTCCAGGTACCCAGTCAAGCAGCAGCTGCAGTGTAGGAGGATCCATGACTATTCTACCCAACAGAAATGAACTTTCAAATACGGACATCACAGTGTTAAATATGTTGAACAGGAGGGACAGCAACACTAGCACAATCAGTTCGGCCTACTTGAGCAGCCGTAGGTCCTCTGGTATTTCGCCTTGCTTTTCCAGTCGCAGATCCAGCGATGCTTCCCAAGCTGAGGGAAGGCCTCAGAACATGAGCGTTGCTGATTCCTATGACCCCATTTCAACTGATGCCTCCAGGCGCTCCAGCGAAGCAAGTCAGTGTGATGACCTTCCAAGTCTTCTCAGCCTCACACCAGCCCAGCAATACAGGCTGAAAGCTAAATATGCAGCAGCTACTGGTGGACCCCCACCAACCCCACTACCTAACATGGAGAGGATGAGCCTCAAAACAAGGATGGCACTGTTGGGTGACTGCAAGGAGCCTGGAGTATCTCCTCTGCCTCCAGTAAACATTCCTCGAAGATGTAGTGATGGCGGGGCAAACAGTTATAGCAGGAGGCATTTTCTGTCTCATGATGTACTAGGAAATGGGACAAGGAGAGCCAGTGATCCTGTTAGAATGGTCTCTGACAACCTATCTCTTCCTAGAGTCCAGCGTTTCAACAGTCTAAATAGCTTTAATTCTCCTGCGTTGCCTCCATCCATGGAAAAGCGCAACTTTATTCTACAGAACTATACCCGCTCTGATGGTGGCCTGTTCCGTAACTTCAACTCCCCTTGTCCTCCAAGTATCAGTGAGAACGTTGCCCTGGAGGCTGCTACCATGGAAGCAGATGGTAGTCTAAATGATGAGGATCTTCTGCCAGATGATGTGGTTCAGTATTTGAATTCCCAGAACCAGGGCATATATGATCACTTGTCAAACGGTGCCCTGGATAGCAACAAAGTGCATCACAACTCAGTGATCGGAAGCAACAGTTTTGAGCAGGCCCCTCCACCAAACAGTCAACAGACCAGCTCCGAAGCAAACAAAAGTGACCTGCCAATTCAGTGGAATGAAGTAAGCTCAGGAAGTTCTGACTTGTCTCCTTCAAAACTAAAGTGTGGTCAGCGTTCTGCAGTCCAGCAAAATCGAGCCTTTGGACTATATAATAATATGATGGTCCAGCAGCAGAATCTGGAGAGAAATGGCATGGCCCAACAAAATGGTTATCAGAGTGCTACAGAAAGCAACAGCCTATACAGTTTACAGCAGAATATGATGATTAGTAACAACAGTGGTAGTTTTTTCAACATGCAGTCCAATAGGCTGTATGGTGAAAGCATCAACAGGCAATCAATAATTTCTGGGACAATGGACAATTCTTGCAGCATGGTGGCTCAAGGGCAGAAGTTGAGGAACAATAACTTGGCAGTGAATGGAAGCCAGCAAAATTTTGGTCACCCTCTGGTGACAGGCGAGCAATCCATGAGCATGGCTAATGGGATGCAGAGCAAGAATATGATAGAACAGGAATACTTGCAAAATCAGCCAGGAGGGGAAGGCATTCATTACCAGGGAGTCAGTCAGTCCAGTCAAATGATATTAGGTCAGGTTAGTCCTACCTCACAAATCAGCCTATATCAAGGGCCACAGAATTGTCCTCCAATGTCTCACAACCTTGGTAACCAGCAGTCGGGTTTGTTGGTGACAAAGGGTTGTCAGCCATGTGCCAGCTATGGTGGCACCAGACGACAAAGCATGTTGAGAAACACCCTGCCACAACAGCAAGGACATGTAAGTGATGCAAACCAGGTATACAGGGTAAATGGCATTAAGATGGAGATGCAAGGTCAATCACAACAGTTCTGCTCTAACATGCAGAATTACTCTGGTCAGTTATATGACCAAACCATGGGCTTTAGTCAGCAAGATATGAAAACAGGTTCTTTCTCCATTTTGGAAGCTAACTGCCTGCTGCAGGGGACTGGTACTGCAAACTCATCTGAGCTTCTTTCCCCAGGGGCTAACCAAGTGACAAGCACTGTTGACAGCATTGATGGCAACAGCCTAGAAGGGGTGCAGATTGATTTTGATGCTATCATAGATGACGGGGACCATGCCAGCTTAATTTCAGGAGCCCTGAGTCCAAGTATCATTCAGAATCTCTCACGCAATTCCTCCCGCCTCACCACTCCCAGAGCGTCTCTTACATTCCCAGCTATGCCCATAAGCACAACCAACATGGCTATTGGGGACATGAGTTCTTTGTTGACCTCACTTGCAGAAGAAAGCAAGTTTCTTGCTGTTATGCAATAGACATGGAAAAAAAAAACACTTAGGAGATAACAGATTAAAACAAAGTGACTCATATTTTTTAGTTGTGTATGTATTTTAGCAATCTCATCTCACCTAAATGGGATGTGTTTCAAGTATATTCCTTTTATGGAATAAGGACTTTGAAAACCCTAAAGTGTTCTAGGGAGAAACTGTCTTCCATTTCAGTTTTCAATCAGTATTGTTACATCCACTCCTCTCTCTTTCTCTCTCTCTCTGTCTTTCTCTCTCTCTTTTGAATGTCTGTATGCTTTCTTTTGTTCTTTTTTTGGCTTTTTTATCGTAAAACAATGTAAACGTGACATGCATGGGGTTTTTTTTGTTTGGTTTGGTTTGGCTTTTTTTAAAGGCAAGTCTAATTAAATGATTTTGCAATGTTCTGTTACAAAGAGGAAACACAGTCTCTTACAATTGCTGCCAATGTTTTTATTCCTTTTTTAAAATGTGGAGGCACAAAATAACCAGGCACAATATAAAGAAGATAGCAAGTGAGTAAAGAAATCAGCTGTGAATTCCTGACAAATAGACAACAGGTTTACAAAAAGATCTGCTTGTGATACTCCCAGGCTATGTTTTCATAGCAGTTGACAATAGAAGTCTGATGCCCATGCAAATAAGAACTGAAGAACTTCACATATTTTTGTCCCGAACAAGTGTATGAGGGGTTGTTGTTTTTTAATGTGTTTGTGCATATTTATGCATGCGCCTGTAGGGTACATCTGTATCTCTTCTCTGGCACTCTCGGGGGCATTGGTAACGGACACTCCCCACTTGCCTGACCTGCACCTGGAAATGAGTGAGTGAAGCCTAAGGATGCCTTGTGCAGCCATTGTCAAGCACTCTGTTTCCAGTGTGCTTCACAGAGGTGACAGGTTCTGCTTCATTGCCTTATTTCTGGGTTTGGCCAGTGTGGAGTAAGAGCAGGTAAGCTGGGTGTGCTTGACACCAGGGAGCACTGGGGAAACAAGAGAGTCATACCCAGGGAGTCCCTCACAGGCAGACCATGCATTGCCAACTATAATACAAGAACTACTATGTCTCTTAAAAACTACTTTTGGGGGGGCTAAAAACTCCTTTTGTGACCACAGCTCACTTGTTTGCGTCATTTGATATAATTTTTTTGAGGGAGGTGCATTTTAAAATGACAAGAAAGCAAAAGTAAATGTCTGTTTGCCTATTTTTAACCCATCGGTCAAATACTGCATTGATTTTCATATTTAAATAGCCTATGAAATCAGATTTACCATTGTTTTAATGAGAGAATGATCAGGCTGTTAGTTCATTTGGCCTAAAGATCCACTCTAAACTATGCTGTCCATTTGGCTAGTGTGGCCGAAGAAACATTAATGTCTGGCCATAGTACACAAGGAAGTGGTGCCCATAGCATCATGTTCAGCTATGTTGAAATCTCCTGCCCAAAGTATAAGGTACCCAGTTACAGATGGCTTAACTGCAGCCAAGTTTTGTTATGAGTCTGGAGTGAGAACTGAACCTACACCTCTAGATCTATGGCAGAACATCTTAACAGCTCCACCATGTCCCCTTGGTACCAAAACAGTGGACTGAGTTTTCTTTAATCCACTTCAAGCAGTTCTTACCTAGAGGTTTTACAAAGTAACTAATCCCCAACCACAAAACAATTGCTTTTTCCTAATTATTTCTAATTTCCATGGACTAACATACACATGGCCTGGCTACACTGGTACAGCATATTTCAGGAAATATACTGCCATTGATGGTTACATCTTCAAAAAAAAGTAACTCTACTGTCATGTTGATCCATAAAAAAAAAGATCCCTGCACTCAGAATGAACTAATATGCTATGGCTGCAGGAACTGTACTGATCACAAGAGTCTCTCAGCAATTTCTAATTAACTGTGGTTTTTATCATTAAAAGCAGGAAGGAAATAAAGAAAAATCTGTTCCAGTGAAAAGTTTTATTTATAGCTAGAAAAAAGCAAGAGGAGTTATCACCCACTCACCTTTTAAGTCCATTCATTGAGCCAGATTCTGCTGTCAGTTATACCAACACAAGTCTGGACGGACTCCATACAGTTCATTGGAGTTGATCCAAATTTAGAGGTGTAAATGAGTGCAGAATTTGTGTCTAGTTCTCATAAGAACATGTTGTAATGGGATTTCTTCTTGCTCCCACTATCAAAACTCCAGTGGGTACAGATTTAAGCCCTGAACTCTTGGAACAAGGGGATAATTTCACCCCTGGTCAGCAGATCCACATATCTTATGTCCCACATATGTGTGATGCAGTCCATGTTTTGACTGTGTATGTGAAACTTAAATGCTGCATATGGCTGTGCATGAGTAAACTTCATAAGGAACAGACATTTACCCAGACTTCAGAATGCAATTACACTTGAAATCGTAGCACAGACTGAGAATTGCAATATGGTTTCTATGGCCAAAAAAAAAAAATCTAATGTTACTTAACTGTAAACAGAGTACAATCAAAACCCAGTTGCTTTGGAGCCTAGTAGCCTAGGAGGTTGTGGGAACAGAAGCTCATCCAGTCCCGTGTAGTGAGGTTGCTCCCCAAATCATTGGGCAATATAACAATAGCCAGTGCTGGGACAGCGTAGGCTCGTTACAGCACCCGGCTGCTGTATTCTACTAAATTTGCATTCTTAAGATCAGTTTTTGACTTGGTGATCCCCAAAACAAGAAATTATAATACTCCAGGAGGAACCAGACCTTTCATCAATAGCCTACATTCTTCATGGTCCAGATCCCACCTTCCTTGGCTTTCTTCACCTCTGTAATAAGCACTCAGTGGTTTGATTCACTGATTTATTCCCTGTCTCCTGCCTCCTGCCCTGCCCTGCTCTACCATGTAATCCACATTGCATCACCTACAATCCCAGTGCAAGCCATCTCCAGCTTCCTAGCCTTCACTGGGAATCAGTGTCAGGGGGAGCAGGCTGCACAAGGTGCCCAAAGGTTAAAAGCAATAGTTTTTTTCCCCTGCAGCGGAGGCACAGTGTGACTCTCGACTTGCTGCTTCTACTTTCTGCTGCCAGAAAATACCCTTCATTCTCAGACTAGTATCCCTGGATAGCCCTTAGATAGTAGATACCACCCAGTGTGAACAAGCTCAGTGTGGCCAGTTCTTTTAGGGCTATTTTCTCTGTAACAGCAAAGTTGCATATCCAGATGCCATCTTAGATATTGGCTCAGGAGTTATAGTTCCATAATTTGAGCCTGCCAGTGCCTTTGGTGATCCCACAGCAGGTGTGACACAGTGACAGAATAGTTCTTTGGAAAGGGGACATTGACAGCAAAGCATTTTTGGTGTGGGGGGGAGGAGGGCTACTGTCTAGATCATACTGCCCTCATCATTCCCATGAGTGACCTACAGGGTACAGTAAGAGGCCTTTTTCCTGCCCTTGGGAGGTGAGGGGGGGGTGGAGGGCAGTTTAATGCAATGGGTGACCTGTATTAAAGGTCCATACATGATACTGGCTATAAGCCTGTGAAAGACATAGGGTTATGTGTTATGGATGGCTATGCACTCATCATCAGCTGATATTACCAATGACTTTAAGAAACCTGTTTGACTAAATACAAATAGTTGACTGTTTATTAAAACATCTACTAATGATTTCTAAGCTATTTATATGTTGACCTTTATTAAACAGTTTGACTAAATATGGGGGTAGATTTTCAGGGAGTCTACCACCAGAGAGCCAATCTATAAAAACTCTTGTTTAATTTTTCTTTGAATATTAAGCTATGAGCTAGGAAGTTACTAATTAGGTCATGTTATAAATCAAATTGGCAAAGGAGTTCAGAGCTTCATACAGTTTGGTGTGGGGGGGGGACGGGGGGATGGGGGAAAGAGACTGTTAGATCATTTAGTCTGACCCCCTGTCTTTTACATGTTACTACATTTCATCCAGTTAGTCCTGTACCAATAAATTGTATTTGACTAATGTGTGTCTTCCAGAAAAGCATTTCCCCCCATTGTTCGAAGACATCAAATTCCTTGTTTGAAGACATCTAATAACTAATCACCCCCACTGCTAAGAAGGTGTATCTAATTTCTAATTTGACGCAGTCTAGTTTCAGCTCTCAGCCACTGCTTCATGCTGTGTCTTTCTCACTTGTTTAAAATGTTCTTTCATGGCCTGTATTCTCACAAGTCAAAGTCACCCTTTTTTCTTTGTTTGTGATGAAATAAACATATTAAGCTCTTCAAGTCTCCTGCTGTATGGCATTTCCACTAGCCCTCTCATATTAGTGGCTTGTCTCTGTGCTTTCTCCAGTTTTTCACCATTTTTGAGATGCAGACATAAGAAGTGGCTGTAGAATTCCCATGCCAGTCTTAAAACTGTGCCACATCCAGAAGTTAAAAAAGAAAAAGAAAAAAAACCCATTTCCACAGAAATAACTCAGTTGCTTATACATCAAGGATTCTTTCAGTCTTTATTGCCACACCACTCAGTATTACTTGCCATGGAGGCTAGATGCTTGAGTCCCAGTACAGTTTTAATGGCAACTGCTGACATTAAGACTTGCACTGGAATTCTAAACATCCTTGCATTCTTTAACATAGTTCTTGTGGTTTCTTCAAATCCTACCATTTTTTTGTCCCTTGAAACAAATCGTTCTCATTGTCAGCATCCATGAGACCTGCGTGTTTTCAAAAGTGTTTTTCTTTTCACAAAATGGAAGTCCCACGCATATCTTCCTGTGTTTTTAATCATATCCATTAGGTACAGTCAGCTGTATAAAAGGTACTTGTATGGGTAGCTCTGTTGAATTCCAGAATGGGTTTGACGGGAAGCACTGTGGACTAGCATGTTCCAGCCGCTTGCAAGGATTTTTTTTCTCTCTTTAGGGAAGGTCCCAAAATGGTACTTGCATTACATGAAGGCTTTCTTCTTTCTTTTTTGCTTTATCTCTTTCTTTCAATGAGATGGACAGTTAGCTCACCCACATGTGTTACAGTATGGCTCGTCCTATTAAACAAC